AATCTGAATCACGTTTTAAATGTAATGATATTGAATGTAATGAAAAATGTTCACATAATAAACTACGATCAAATACATACGGCACAACACCTAGAAATAGAATAAAAATAAAATGTTCAGCTTAGATCGGAGAATATTCCAATTTCCAATTCTATTTGTTGACATAACGTTGAAATAGGTCAAAATCATTTGTAGGAGAGCAACAACTAACATTTTATGTAAAATGTGGAAGATTGCACTGATAATTTCAGTCATCATCAAAGAATTAAAACCAGAATTCCATCTACGTGTACTTAGGCTGAAATATATCAACTTTATATAAGGCAATCAAATAGGGAGCAATGATAGACATTCATATCCAATGATAAAGGGCTTGGTCACATACTTCTCCTATTAAAATGAAATTTTCCCACGTTTTTTCAATATTCTGCACTCTTCGTATTCTCCGAGAAGGAACAGATCTGGAGATGATGTCGTTGACTTGATTTTTAGATAAACCCATGAGAACTTTTTTGATGGAAACAGTAGGATATATCGTGGTGTGACACTGATCGCGATAAAATATTGCATCATGATGTTCAGCCTTTGCTTGTACGATCTTCGTAAGAAACAGAAGCCGTAATTGGCCATCACACTTAGTGCATTTAGTTTCGGAAACAGCTGACATTTCATTATGACTTTTATTCTTAGCTTTTCCATAGTTTATTTTCTATTCACTTTGTTAAGTCGATTGAGTGAAACTCAAGAAGACTTATTCTGTTTCAACAGAAAAAGTTCTTCTTCTTTCCACCTGTTTTTCTCGCTCGGAAGATGACACAACTGAAGTTATTTTTTGGATATTTGCTTTAGTTATCCTCTAAGTACTGTCACAAAATGAGTATATTTTTGAGACTATTCTATTGTTTCTTTTATGAGATAATTTTTTAATGTTGTTTCTGAACATTGATTTCATTTACGTGACACCATTGTTTGGTGCATGATTTAGCATGATGATCTTGATCTCTGGCAGAAGTGCAGAGAATATGTCACAAAGAATATTAAGGTACACATATTTTCCTCTCTTATTCTTTACGAAAACATTTGTCACTTTTTTAACATTCAAATTTAGTTGCGTAGCAGTCATTGCTGTTGTTGTTACTTCGTCCACATCGCATTTTTCAAAATAATGTTTTCCAGACTTTCGCTTGACCTGGATGTCGAAGCTTGATGGTAATGCTGGTTGTAGCCAAGTATAACTAACTACTGTCTTATGGACCACTTTTCAGGGTGTTAGCAGTCCGCAATGGTCTTCTCAGATAGTTGTGCTCCGTCAGTGTAGCAGAGATTACTTTCTTTATTTTCTGCAGAAAAGTATATTTAAAACGAATTGTGAACTATTAATCTTTCATTGTTTGGCAACTAACCTTGTATAGTTAACTGTTCCAGCTGTGGTACTGATTGTCCATAAAATTCTTGTGTTTCATAACATTTTATTACATTTAAATTTGGTTCTAATAAATTGATACATAATTGTTTTAACGTCAGACCACATCGTTGTTTTAAATGTTGATGAATATTATCTTGATCAATACATGAAATAGTCAAGGATTCCAAATGATGAAATTGAAGATCTGGATACTCATTTAGAAAACATTCATACTGACCATATCTGAAACAAACAAACGAAGATTAAGCGTAATATAAAAAGTTAGGCAGAAAGAACTACGAAAGCGCATGAACTAGTTTGGACACCTATTCAGCTTCAGATGCTCTTAGAATAGCTTAGTCGTTATTGTTGTATCAAATCAGAGAAAAACTTTTCGAGTTACCTCTCAATCACCGCTTTCTTATGTCAGGATTTAGAATAGTATTCATAGACGCTGATAGCATATGAAAGTCAGATGACAATGATGTTTCAAGTAAGATGCAGGTTCTCATTCGTATTCATTCATTCCTCATGTTGTCCAAAGATCGTGAATAGTACGCAAATAGCAGTACTGGTACAAGACCGACTAACCTTTTTGTATGTCCACAAACAAGCAGATTAAAGCGAAAGTAAAAAGTAAGAAAAATTAGAGAAAAAAAGAACAGAAGAAATAAATAGCGTAACAGAAGTATCAAACGTCAAAAAATAAAATGCAAACAACAAGAGTAAAAGGAAGAACAAAGGTATGAACTATACGAAAAGTGGAAACAACAAGTTCGATTACTATCCATTTCAAAAAAGAAGGGACTCCATTGTTTTTGTAATAATTTTTGGTAGAAAAGAGCTACAGACCTGCGGGTTATCAGTTCTGTAAAGAGAAATGTTTTGGCCATCAGTTTATGGAAAAATAAAAATAAAAATATCACATGCAGGTAGTAGACCTCATCAATACTTTGCGCAAAGGTCTCCATTCACTAAAAAGGTTTCAGATTTTGAATGTCGAGAGGTACCTTCGAATTTCCTGACGGTACTCTAGAAAACTTGACAAGTCCTAGACAAGATTCCATCTACTGCGGTTCGGGCGCTATAGGTTTCTTCCGAGAACCTACCTGTCGGATGACCTTCATCTTCGAGCTTCAAAATATCAATGTAGACTCCATTTTATCTGTGCTACAGAATATAGTTTTAATAACCAACAAAAAGTATTTTCTAGGTTTTCTAGAAAGCTTTCGGAATAATGGAATGTTTCATACTAATGTCTACTGTCGAATACGATTAAGAAAATAACTTAGAGTCCACGTTGATATTCTAAAGCACTTTGGAATAATTTTGACTGTGTTATGAATACTTCTTAGAAGTTCCTAAGGATAAAGTTTAGCCGATAGATAGATGGTCGGAAAAACGTTATGGCCTCCGAACCGCGATTGATAGAATCTTGTCTATTTCCCCATAAACTGATAGCCCCAACATTTCTCTTTTCAAAACTAAAAATCGCAAGTCTGTAGCTCTTTTCTATCAAAAGTTATTACAAAAACAATAGAGTCTCTTCTTTTTGACCACGTCGAATCTAGTGGCATTTATAAGTCGAAACCGAATTTTACAAAAACTTCGGTTTCCAGACTGTTTCCAGCTAATACTGAAAAATTTACAATTCACTTAAACACATCAGATTGACTTAAGAACTTCAGACTGTAGAGTATTTAGGCTATTCTACATCCTATTTTTTTAAGTTCTGAAATCAATTTGATGTTTTTTAAGTGAATTGTAAATTTTTTAGTATTGGGTGGAAACAATCTGAAAACCGTAGGTTTTGTAAAACTCGATTTTCATTAGGTTTTTATGTTCTTTCTCAAAACAGACATTGCCACTAGATTTACTGTGGTCGATTACGTATGTTTCCTGCGATTTCAAGGCTACGCTAAGTCACCAAATACTAGTTCTTGGACTCCGAGGAAATCCAATACTGCATTGGAATCATTGGAAGTCATTGCCCCGCTTGACTCCCAGACTGAAGAGGACACTTTGAGCTATCTATCGATGTAAAAAAATCAAAATATTTGTATTTCAAGTTTTCGGGTGCGCCCATTGGAATACTTATAGGTCACAGAAATCAAGATTAAAATCACCTTTTTGCATGTTGAAATGACCATTTCAAAATGAGACGTTTCGTCTTTATTCTAAAGGCATCATCAGTCAACTGATGCACAAAAATCACTTCTAACATAGAAGCAGACAATAAAACGCGTGTAGAACACAAAATATTTTTCTTTTGTTTTCTCTTTTACTCTTCTTCTAGATCATATGTACTATGATTCATCTTTTTTTTTAGATTGATTTTAATCTTTATTTCTGTTATAAAGTTTTTCACCTTAAACAAAGAATCACTTATAGGTCGTTTTTGTAAACCTATCTAGTTTTTCTGTTTAAAAGACGATTCGCGAGAAAAGCGAATATTTTGCGAAACACGCGTAACATGCAAAAATTTGACATATGATTCTTATTTGATTTTCAGATTCTACAATCAAAACTGAGATGACAAAAAATTTGTTCACTTCCAGACTTTATTTTGACCGAGTTACAAAGTTTTCAAAATGAGGCGCATCATAGAATCGCAAAAATGAGCACTATCTCATATTTTCGATATAACTCCGTCATTTTTTATCCGTTCTGGTCGAGCAATGTCTCATTCGAAAGACCATCAAAAACTAAACAAAATCAGATGTCTTCTCTTTTTCTAAACTCAATACTGATGTTGTAAGAGGTTCATTAAGCGAAGGATTATGATTTTCACATACAAATTTTTTCTTCTAAAACCCACTTTTGGGCATTCAAACAGAATTTCCCTAGAGATATGAAGGTGATATCAGATAGGAAATTCAATTTTCTACAAACTGAGCTAAGAAACTTTGTTTTAGAACCCTTGGAACAGTTTGAAAATCTGAAAACAAGACGGCCGACTGACATCGTTTTTTCAGTTTTTTGAGATTTTTGCATCAAGGCTTCATTCTAAAACAAAAATAAAGTAATATTTGGAATCAACATCAAAAACTGCACCAGACAATGTGCCTTTGGAGTTATTTAGAGACAAAAAGTTTTTCGATAGTTTTTTTCGATTTTCATTTTTCAAGTCCGACCAATTTTTACTCGAAAATTTTTTGTCTCTAAATAACTTCAAAGGCACATTGTCTGGTGCAGTTTTTGATGCTGATTCCAAATATTACCTTATTTTTGTTTTAGAATGAAGTCTGGATTTTTGAACATTTTTGTATGAGCACATGAAGTTAAATGTTATGATAGATTCTCTACCTCTTTCTCAATTCTAGACTCTAATCAAAGTTAAACGCACAAATCAAAACGGTGATTGAAAAGCAAATGAATACTCTGGTGGAACGTTTTCAATAATTCAGTGTTATCTAGGTTTCGTTTTTCAAGCGGGCGGTTGAAATTTTTGAAGGGGCTGTTGGTTAAAAAAGTTTTGCTGAAACGAAATAAACTTCTTATTTTTGGGTGGGCGTCGCCCATCCGGCCTATCCACTAGATAAATCACTGCAATAATAGGATACCCAATCAATATGTTTAGTGATGAGGAAACTATTCAAGAAGCCCAGTCATTTTCTTCTTAAAATATACTTCATTAAGTGTACCTCTTGATGCTGATCCATTTAATGATGTGTTTTATTTTTTGACATTACGAATTATCATTGCAGATACAAACACCAGCGTAGATTCTAACGGTATTTTTCGACACATTTCCCTGTTTACATTTGCTCCTCATTACCCAAGTCAACAGTCGCACATGCTGTAGTCTCTCTTTCAAAACAATCGTCCTACAGTGGCAAGGCTACTTGCCCTACAACAGCAATTTAAGCGATAAATTCTAAGTTTTGGAAATTTACCCTGCTATTATTTAGTCAAGTGTACCTCAACT